AATCTCTTGGTACCTTCATTCACTGATAGGGCACAACTCAAATGAGAAGAAACAGCTGGAAACATCCTTTAATAATCAGAACATGGAATGTAGGAAGTATGAGTCTAGAAACATTGGAAGTTATCAAAAATGAAATGGGACATATTAAGATCAATATCCTAGGCATTGTTGTTGTTGTTGTTGTTAAGTGCGTCAAGTCAGTTCTGACTTACAGAAACCCTATATCGGGTTTTAAAGGAACTGCTGGTGAGTTTGAACTGCGGGCTTAGTTCTAGGTATTAGTGAGTTGAAATGGACTGGTATTGGCCATTTTGAATCAGATAATCGTATAGTTTACTCTGCAAGGAATGACAAATTTAAGAAAAATGGTGTCACATTTATTGTCAAAAAAGCATTTCAAGATCTATCTTGAAGTATAGTGCCATCTGTGATAGAATAATATCCATATGAGTAATAGTGGTATTAACAAGATTGGTGGTTCAAACTCACCAGTTGCTCATCGGGAACCAGATACTGGGTCGCTATGAGTTAGAAAGGACTCTACATAGCACTTAACAACAATAACAAATAAGAAAGACCAGTTAATAGCACTATTAATTAAATTTACCAGTGATGCCAGTGATGATGAAATTGAAGAATTCTACATACTTCTTCTGTCTGAAATTGATCAAACATGCAACCAAGATGCATTGATTGGAATGCAAAAGCTGTAAACAAAGAGGAAGGATCAGTAGCTGGAAAATATGGCTTTGGTGATAGAGATAATATTGGAGATCTCACAATAGAATTTTCCAAGACCAATGACTTATTTAGGGAGTATGGTGGCTCTGCTGGATAAACATTGAGCTGTGAACCACAGGTTAGCAGTTTGAGCCCACCACCTGCTCCTTGGGAGAAAGATGAGGCTTACTGCTCCCACAAGATTTACAATCTTAGAAATCCTATGTAGGGTCTCTCTGAGTCAGAAGCGATTTAACAGCACTTATTCATTGCAAATCTCTTTTTTTTTTTTTTCAACAACATACACATGGGCTTCATCAGATGGACTACATAGAAATCAAATCCACTACATCTGCAGGAAATGATGATAGAGAAGCTCAACACCATCAGCAAAAAGAAGGCCAAGGACCACCTGTAGAAGAGACCATCCATTGCTTATATGCAAATATAGGCTGAAGCTGAAGAAAATGTAAACAAGTCCACAAGAGCAAAAATATGACCTTCAATATGTTGTTGTTAGGTGCCAATGAGTTGGCACTGACTTATAGCAACCCTTTGTACAAAAGGGTCCTGCCCCAACCTCACAATCTTTGCTATGTCTGAGCCCATTGCTGTCGCCACTGTGCAAATCCATCTCATTGGGAGTCTTCCTCTTTCTCCAACCCTCTACTTTACCAAACATGATATCTTTCTCCAGGGACTGGTCTCTCCTGATAACATATCCGAAGCATGAGAGATGAAGTTTGGTCATCCTGGCTTCCAAGGAGCACTATGGCTGTACTTTTTCAAACACATATTGGTTTGTTCTTTAGGCAGTGCGTGGTACTTTTAATAGTCTCTTCCAACACTATAACTCAAATGCATCTATTCTTTCATGGGCTTCCTTATTCACTGTCCAACTTTCATATGCATACGAGGCTACTGAAAATACCATGGTTGGGTCAGGCACACCTTAGTCCTCAAACTGACATCTTTGCTCTTTAATACTTTAAAGAGTTCTTGGGCAGCAGAATTGCCTAATGCAATATGAAGTTTGATTTCTTGACTGCTGCTTGCCTGAGTGATGATGGTTGATGCAAGAAAAATGAAGTCTTTGGCAACTTCAATCTTTTCTACATTGATATGGATGCTGTTTATTGGTCCACTGGTGAGGATTTTTGTTTTCTTACACTGGGGTGCAACTCATACTGAAGGCTGTGGTCTTTGATCTTCATCAGTCATTATTTTAAGTCCTTTTCATTTTCAGCAAGCAAGGTTTTATCATCTACATATTGCAAGTTGTTAATGAGACTGCCTCAAATCCTGATGCTGCGTTTTTCATCATATAACCCAGTTTCTTGGATTACTTTTCAGCATACAGATTGAATAAGTATGGTGAAAACAAACCTGATACACTCCTTTTCTGATTTTAAACCATTCGGTGTTTCCCTGTTCTGTTCGAACAACTGTCTCTTGGTCTATGTTAAGTGTTCTGGGATACTTATACTTCACAATGTTGTCCATAGCTTGTCATGATCTATGCAATTTAAAGCCTTTGTGTAGTCAATAAGCACAGGTAAGCATCTTTCTGGTTTTCTCTGTTTTCCACCAAGATCCATCGGACATCAGCAGTGATATTCCTCATCCCATGTCCTTTTCTGAAACCAGTTTGAACCTCTGGAAGTTCTCTGTCAATGTATAGTTGCAGCCATTTTTGTATTATTCACATGGGATATCAATGATATTGTCTGATGATTTCCATATTCTGTTGGGTGACTCCTCTTTGGAATGGGCATAAATATGGATCTCTTCAAGCTGGCCAGGTAGTTGACTTCCAAGACCTTGAATGTGTGCCACCTGAATTTAGAGACCATTGCAGGAGCAGATTTGAAACATTAGACACTAATGACCAAAGATCAGAAGAGTTATGGGATGACACCAAGAACATCACATATAAAGGAAGTAAAATGTCTTTAAAAAGACAAAAAGTAAAGACCAAAATATATGTCAAGAGAGACTCTGAAATTTGCTCTTGAGCATAGAGAAGCTAAAGAAATTTGAAGAAATGAAATAAAAGAGCAGAATGGAAAATTTCAAATGATACCTCGAGAAGACAAAGTCAAGTACTATAATGAAATGTGGAGAGATCTGGACTTACAAAAACAAAAGGAAAGAACATGTTCAGTATTTCTTAACATGAAAGAACTGAAGAAAAAATTTAAGCCTCAAATTGCAATATTGAAGGATTATATGGGTAAAATATTGAATGATATGTTGTTGTTGTTGTTAGGTGCCTTCAAGTCGATCCTGACCCATAGAGACCCTATGTAGGGTTTCCAAGGAGCAGCTGGTGAGCTGAAACTGCTGACCATGCAGTTTAAATGGCTTTGCAGTCTGGCACATTAACCCACAGCATCACACCAGGACTAGGAAATATCAAAAGAAGATGGAAAAAATATAGAGAGTCACTGTATCAAATAGAATTGGTCGATTCTCACCATTTTAAGAGGTAGCAGGAACTGATGCTATTAATGGAAAAAGTCCAAGTTGCACTGGAGAAAAACAAGACTCCAGGAATTGATGGAATACAAATTGAAATATTTCAACAAACTGATGCAGCACTGAAGGTGCTGACTCATCTATGCCAAGAAATTTGGAAGACAATTATGTGTTCTGGAATACAGATTGAAAGAGTTCCGTGTTTGTGTCCATTGCAAAGAAAGGTGGCCCAACAGAATGTGGAAATCATTGAACAATATCATTGATATCACATGCAAGTACAGTTTTGCTGAATTAAAAAATAATTGCAGCAGTACATCAAGAGGAAGCTGCCAGAAATACAAGCCAGATTTAGAAGAGGACATGAAACTAGGGATATCATTGCTGACATCAGATGGATCTTGGCTGAATGCAGAGAATACCAGAAAGATTTTTAGTTGTGCTCTATAAACTGTACAAAGACATTCAACTGCGTGGATCATAACAAACTATGGATAATATTGTGCAAAAGTGTTATTCCAGAGCACTTAATTGTACTCATGAGTAATCTGTACACAGATCAAAAGGCAATTGTTAGAACAGAACAAGAGGATACTGAATGGCTTAAAATCAGAAAAGGTGTGTACCAGTGTTGTATCCTTTTACCATACTATTCAATCTGCATTCTGAGCAAATAATACAAGAAACTGGATTATGTTAAAAAGAACATGGCACCAAGATTGGAAATATGCAAGTTGTGATATGCAGATGATACAACCTTGTTTACTGAAGCAAACTGACCTTGTGGTCCTGTGCTTTTATCCTTTGGCGTCACATCAGGGGTTTGTATATGTCATCTCAATTTCCTTCTTCCCTGCATGGTTTTCTGCTGAGAAATCAGTGCTTAGTCATAACCCTTTGTAGACATTATTTGGTTTCTCATGAGCTGCTGTCAGATTTCTTTCTTTCTTTTAGGGCCTTTCCTGTATGGGATTCATTGAGCTTCTTGCATGGAAATCTTTCATGATATTAGAGAAATTTTCTACCAACAAACCTTCAAACATTTTCTCTGTGCCCATTACCCCCTCTTCTGGTATTTATATTGTGTGTAAATTATTCCTCTTGATAACATTACACATAAACTCCTAGGCTTTCCTGATTTTATTCATTTTTTTCCCCCTGATTGCTCCTCAAACAAATTAATACCAAGGGATTTGTTTTCTATTACACTGACTTTTCCATTAATTCAGTTTTATTTCTATGTTCTTCCGTTAAATCATCTATTTCTGATATTTTGTTGTTATTCTTTTAGTTGTTTTTGTATGGTTTCTAATTGTCTATTTTGTCATTTTGATCTTATATTGCTGCTTGAATCATGTGGGGACCATGTATTACTTTCCTTGTTTTCACAAGGCGGAAAGAGAATCAAACTCAAAATCAGTCCAAGGCCAATTCCTATAAAGTGAAGGTCAGACATGCTTCCACCCTACAACCTTCTTTACCTTATTCTGACACCATTCATCCCTCCCACAGCACTCTCTGCTTCACTTGTGGGTTTGATAACCCATTGCAATGGCCATTCATAATTCATAACAGTACTCATGATTATGGGAATTTTTAGGAAAGTGAGCAGGGTACAATTCAGGATCAAAAAACCTCAGGACACAGCAGTTCTAGAATCAGGAATGCCTCTTGTCTGCTATATTGCAGGCACACCTCACTTTTGTCTTTGGCCTGTCAGCCATGTGGTCCCTTGGCCTCTGCCCTGCTTGGGCAAGTGTTATAAAGCTCTTTTAGCCTGTCTGTGAATGCCCAAAGGGCACATGCTTCAAGCAAGTCTTCTGCCCATAGGCTCTTAGCTTTACTCAGTCCATGGGTCTAGAGACTGAAGCTGCTCTGTTTCTCCATGCCACTGCCTCTGCCGTTGCCTCTGCCTTTGCTGTTTCTCTAGATAGGGATCTCATGCTTTAGTCCTGCGGTCTTCTGTCTTGGCTCCTGAGATAGCTCCTTTTAAGCCTAGCTGGAAGGCAAATCCAATCTCAGCATTAGAGTCCTGTATATCTTATTTGCATGGTCCCATTCAATAACTTGGTGGGAATTAAGACTTTGGATATAAAAAGCCATATCAAGTAAATTAAAGGCAACACAATTGCTTTTTTGACTTCTAGGTTTTGATCAGTATTTTCCTTGATCTCTTTATTTTTGTTGTTGTTAAATGCTATTTAGTCAGTTCGGACATTTAGTGACCCTTTGTGTTATTGTTGTTGTTGTTAAGTGCCGTCGAGTTGGTTCTGACTCATATAGAACATATATAGAGTTTCTGAGGAGCAGCTGATGGATTTGAACTGCTGATCTTGTGGCTCACAGTCCAGTGATGATCCTATAGAGCCCCACCAGGACTGTCAGTCCTGTGTTATTTTCACAATCATTGCTATGTTTGAGCCCATTGATGCAGCCACTGTGTCAATCCATCTCATTGAGGGTCTTCTCTTTTGCTGATCCTTTACCAAGCATGATGTCCTTCTCCAGGGACTGAGCTCTTCTGGTAGCTGTCCAAAGTACATGAGATGAAGTCTCACTATACTTGCTTCTAAAGAAAATCCTGACTGTATTTCTTCCAAGACTGATTCGTTTGTTCTTTTGGCAGTCCATGATACATTATGTGTTATTGGCCAATTCCATAATTCAAAGGCATCAATTCTTTTTCAGTCTCTTTATTCATTGTATAGCCTTCACATGCATCTGAGACTATTGAAAATACCATGACTTGTGTCAGGTACACCTTAAAATCTTCAAAGAATCATCTTTGCTTTGTAATGCTTTAAGAAGGTCTTTTGTGGAAGATTTGTTCAACACAATATGTCATTTGAATTCTTGGTTGCTACTTCCATGAGGGTTGATTGTGGATCCACACAAATTGATTTTCTTACAAAGTTCAATATTTTCTCCATTTATCATGATGTTGCTTATTGGTCCAGCTGTGATTTTTGTTTTCTTTATGTTGAGGTGTAATCCATACAGGCGGCTGTACTTGTTGATTTTCATCAGTAAGTGCCTTAAGTTCTCTTCACTTTCAGTAAGTAAGGGTGTGTCATCTGTACACCACAGGATGCGAATGAGTTTTCTTACAATGCTCATGTCATATTTTTCTTCATATTGTCCAACTTGTCAGATTAGTTGCTCATCATACCGATGAAATAAATATGGTGAAATGATACAACCCTGACACACATCTTTCCTGGTTTTGAACCATGCAGTATCCCCTTGTTCTGTTTGAACAACTGCCTCTTTGTCTATGTACAGGTTCCATGTGAGCACAATGACATGTTCTGGAACTCCTGTTCTTCACAATGTTATCCATCATTGTTATCCATGATCCACATAGTCTAATCCCTTTGCATAGTCAATAAAACATAGGTATACACCTTTTTTGTGTTTTGTCATTTCACCAAGATCCATCTGATATCAGCAATGATATCCCTCATTCCATGTTGTCTTTTGGACATGTCTTGAATTTCTGGCAGCTCCCTGTTGTGTACTGCTACACCATTTTTGAATTATTTCCAGCAAAATTTTACTTGTGCATGGTATTAATGACGTTGTTGTTGTTGTTAAGTGCCGTCGTGTTGGTTCTGACCCATAATGACCTTAGATAGGGCTTCCGAGGAGTAGTTGGTGAGTTTGAACTACTGACCTTGTGATTCAAACCGACTGTGCAGTCCAGCGCATTAACCCACAGCACCACACCAGAACTCCAATATTAATGATATTATTCTATAAATTCTGCATTCTGTTGAATAACTTTTCTTTGGAATGGGCACATATACGAATATGGATCTCTTCCAATCAGTTGGCCAGGTAGCTGTCTTCCAAATTTCATGACAGAGAGGAATGAGTACCTCCAGTGTTGTTGAAATAGTTTTTTATACTTTTTA